AAAAAGAACAAAAAAAAAGAAACCCTCTCGCGAAAAAAAAAAAAAAAAAAAAAAAAAAAAAAAAAAAAAAGGCTTATTGTTGAAAGCTTGGTCCCCAGCCAGTGGCACTGAGATGTGACCGGATCATGAGGGCACTAACCTCATCAATGAATTTATACACAGCTGAATGGTCTATAATGCCCTGTGGGAGCAAGCAGGCTAGTTGGGTCTCTAGAAGGTCTATCCTGTTCTTGGATCCTCCTCCCTTCCTTAGCTACAGAGATCAGCAGTTTTGTTCTGCCGTGTGCTCCCAGCATGATGTTCAGCCATGCTTCAAGTCTATAATGGGCTAAATGACCACAGGTAGAAAATGATGGAGGACAGTGGGGACAAATAGCGGCATTTTATATTCTGTGTTATAGACACATTTGCATTCTGTACAGTAGAAAGGATTCTGCACACAGAGTCACTAAATGCTTCATATGTGTGCTGCTGATGCTTGGTTTATTCTGAGTTAAGTCCCCTTGGCCTAGATGTCCCTAGAAAAAGACAAGGCTGATGTCATCAGACACTTAACTAGACTCGGCATTTCCAGAGGACAGGGAAGAGTGCAAGGGGTGGTAAGAAGAAACATGGCTGACCACCTGACATGGGGGGCAAAACTAAGCTCACAATGGTGGGCCTCCTCTCTCCAGGTGCCCTACTCCCAAACTGGCTGGAAAGGAAACAGAAGGCAGTGTGGGGTGCTATCTGCTGCCTTGTCCAACTGCTGGCTCTCTGAATAAAACTAAACTTAGAACCCAATTCCTGCTCTCTGTTCACTGGCTTCTGTGGTGAGAGGCTGCACAAACACAAGCCTTCTGGATCACGATACCTCTGAAGCCTGGAACCTAAATAAATTGTCCCCTTTAGAATGGTTTCTTTCAGGTATTTTGTTACAACAATGAAAAGCTAACTAACATGATGGGTTTAATACACATTACATAAGACATAGCTACAACTAAAGAGTTGAACTTTCAATTCAAAATGGTCAGGAAGAGACCAAAAAGATGGAATTAAGTATAAATGTTACGTGCTGGAGAGATGGCTCAGAGGTGAAGAGCATTGACTGCTCTTCCAGAGGTCCTGAGTTCAATTCCCAGCAACCACATGGTGACTCTCAACCATCTGTAATAAGATCTGGTGCCCTCTTCTGGCCTGTAGGTATACATGCAGGCAGAACACTGTATATATAATAAACAAATTATAAATATTACAATAAATATTAGTGGACACAAGTATGGCAAAAATAAACAGTGTGGCACCTGAGTGCTTGAAGTATGCTAGCTGATGGCCTGTAGCACATCTGCTACAGCTGTGCTAAATTCTAGGATGTTTTCATTGCCTCCCATAGGTGTAAAGGCTGTATTGACAGGTTATGATGGGAAACATATTAAAAACACCAACTTTTGTACACAGATCTGAGATGTACTGTCCAATAATAGAAGTACCTAAAGGACAAAGATCTTATCAGTGTAATAAACTCTAAGGAATTAATTAAGAAAAAGGAAAAAGGAAGCCAGTGGAAAATGTTAAACTATAGCCTGATCGCTAAGTAAATCAAAACTTGTACGTCCACAGTTAATTCTGGGTTGGTTAGATGGCTCAGTAGGCAAAGATACCTGTTACTGTGCCTGATGACCAGAGTTTGGTCCCCAGGACTCCTGAGCTATCTATCCTCTGATCTCTATATCCACGCTGTGGCATGCATATGCCCCCGTGAACAAACAATAGATGCAATAAAATTGTTTTAAAGTGAATTAAAGAAAAGGCAAGCAGTTTTTATGTGAGCCTGACCATAATGACAAGGACCAATGATGACACTGTGATGTGACCACCACATACATACATGGCCTCAGGTTCAGGACCTGATGGAACTGAGTATAAGGGTACAGACTCGGTAAGCAAACAATAAACGGATCCTACAGCTAGTATAGTGGTGCAAGGAATTGTCAATTTGTCAGTAACGGAAAGGACTCATGAGCAGACTCTCTTCTAGGACGAGGTTTATCTGTATTGGAAAAAGATAACTCTAAGAGCATACAGTAATTGGCAAAGAGAAACAAGTCTCCAATGTTTAAGCTGTGCATGACTATTCTTGGTGTGGAAGGACCCCAGACCCAACTTTCTCAAGTTATCCTGGACTAAGTAAAGGCATTCACCACCATGCCTGGTCAATCGCTTCCATTTTTGATGCTTTAAAAGTTTGCTTTTCGGGGCTGGAGAGATGGCTCAGCGGTTAAGAGCACTGACCGTTCCTTCCAGAGGTCTTGAGTTCAATTCCCAGCAACCACAGGATAGCTCACAACCATCTGTAATGAGATCTGGTGCCCTCTTCTGGCATGCAGGTATACAGGCAGACAGAACACTGAATACACAAGTAAATCTTAAAACAAACAAACAACCCCCCTCCCAAAAGATACTTCCTGTGGTAGATTTAAAAGTGGGAGTTAGGGCTGGAGAGATGGCTCAGAGGTTAAGAGCACTGGCTGTTCTTCCAGAGGTCCTGAGTTCAATTCCCAGCAACCACATGGTGGCTCACAACCATCCGTTATGAGATCTGGTGCCCTCTTCTGGTGTGCAGATATACATGGGAGCAGAATGTTGTAACATAATAAATGAATAAAATCTTAAAAAAAAAGTGGGAGTTAAAGGGAGAGGGGCACCAGAAACCAGTCGATCCCGCCTGTAGGAAGGAGGATAGATCAGAGGACACCAAGGACCCACCCACATGGTGACTCCAGAGAACCGACTCCTGCGAGTTGTCCTCTGACTTCCACCTCCTATCAACAACACATGTAAGATACTAAAATAAACGTGCGGGAATTAAACCTCATAACCACCAACATTATGTGGGGGACCCACGTTCACTAAACTCGAAAGCAGCTCAGTGCTCCTTTGATGACTTCGGGAATGACAAGTCTTGGCGACAACAGACCCACGCACAGCAGGTACCACATCTGTCAGCTCCACGGGCTGTCCCAGCCCACCCGGGAACCTTTGCTTGTCTGCCGGACGGCAGAAGATGACGGCAGACTCGGGGCCAATGAGCGCCGAGTGGGGCGGGGCCATCCTGAGAGCCGAGCGCCCGAGGGGACTCGGCCGCCACCGCTGCGCGCCACGCATGCGCACTGACCTTCACTCTCCCGCCGGAGTCAGGCCCAAATTCCGCCATTCTCTTGAACATATTGTCCCAGGGAAGGAGCCGCGGCCGCCAGGGAAAGAGCTCAGGCCGGAGGGGCCGCCCGGGCCGAGGGGTTCAGGCAGGAGGAGGGCGAGTCACCTGGGCTCGCGGCGCTGAACAGCCACCTCCTCCACACCCGCGGCGTCGGGGTCGGCCATTCAGCCCCGCGGTGGGAGAGCGGAGCGGAAGTGGAGGGAGGGGAGCGTCGGACGCGTGAGCGTGCGCATGCGCATGCGCAACGGCCTCAGGCGTACACTGCGCACGCGCCGAGTTTCTGCCATGCCTGTAGAGAGCTTTCAAATCGGCCACAAATCACCACGTACTTTCCAAAAGCCATTACTATGAAAGACAGGTCAAAGAAAACATTTAGGAAGAAGAGCTCGGGAAATCCAGTGAAAAACGACCTATAATGTGTATCTCATAGACAAAAGAAACTATCACATGCACGGAACAAACTTGATGCTACAATATACTGCTATAATAAATCATTAGATGGAAAATATATTGTAAAATAAAAATGTGATTGCATTAACAACACATTTACTAGGAGAGCTGAGAGATATTCTACAAGAAACTTCTCGGATGATTATCTGTTGGGACAGTGGGGCAGAGAGTGTGGAGAGGCCACAGCAGAAGGTCTGCTAGAGTTCTGAGGATGAGACTGGGGTATTGGACTTCGTGGAGTGGAGTGGAGGTTAAGATCTGCAGTTAGCCTACTTGCTTCCCTGGTCAGAGTGGCCTGTGGTTCCCAGGTTGTGCCTGCTGGAGTTGGGGCCTGGGATAGGAGCAGAAAACCTGTGGGGTCTACCAGAGATGATGTTAATCCCGCATATAGAAGAAGAAAGACCACCGACCCAAATCATGGCCATATTAATAAAGCAATTAGTTAAAGCAAGCCTTTGTATTGCTGTACTCGGGCTGCCTTCCCCTATGGCAGGGTTCTAGAGGTCAGCATTGGACATGAGGAAGACAAGGTTTTTATAGCTCAGGGATAGGGTTTTTCCCAATTGGGAATTTGGCAGCAAAGAGGTGGGGCTACAGGAGCAGAACATAAGCTTAGCAAGTGAGTCACGTCAACCTTTTGTGAAACTGAAAGATGTGATTGCAAGGTAGTTGTAGCAAGGAAGTCATAACAACATGTAGTCATAACCCTTTGAAACAGTGCCACAGTGTTTCTATTGCTGTGAAGAGACACCAAGACCAAGGCAACTCTTATAAAGGAAAACATTAAACTGGCTTCAGTCCATTATCGTAACGGAGGGAAGCATGGTGGCATGCAGGCAGGCATGGTGCTGGAGAAGGAGCTGAGAGTTCTACATCTTGATCTGGAGGCAGCGGAAGTGAATGCCACACCAGGCCTACCTTGAGCATATGAGAATTTGAAGCCAGCCCAACAGCAACACACTTACTCCCACACTACTTCAAGGCTACACCTGCTCCAACAAGCCCATACCTCTTAATAGTGCCACTCCCTATTGTTGTGTGATATTTTGTTTGTGTTCTGTCAAATAAAGCTTGCTTGGAGTCAGAGGGCAGAGCTAGCCATTAGTCAACCATAGAGGTCTGGAAGACTGTACGGAAAGACAGGAAGTGATATGTGTCTCTGCATCTGTGATTATTATAGAAGCTTCTTTTGAATATATCCTTTTGACGTTGTGTAAGCCATTTTATTTCTTATTTATAAAGTTTCTGGGGGGTTGGGATACACTGGAGTGTAGAGTGTTTTTTGAGCACATGTACGTGCTTGGGTTTTTAGGATTTCAGCAGTGATTAAAAAGTAAAGAGCCCACTGAAGCAAGAGAGCTCACTGTATGCTGTGGGACTGTCAACTACCTGAGGGAAGGTCCTCTTTGTTCTCACACTGGAAATAGAATGTGTTGGAACTGCCACCTATGTCTACCAGTGGAAATTCATCTTAAGAAAAACAGGGGCCGGACAGATGGCTCATTAGCTAAGAGCACTGGATGCTCTCCCAAAGGACTTGATTCCAGCACCTATGTGGCAGCTCTCAACTGTCTGTAACTCCAGTTACTGGAGATGGAAGTCCTCTTCTGACTTCCATAGGTACCAGGTATATGTGTGGTGCACCGTCCTATATGAAGGCAAAGCACCACACACACAAAGATAAATGAATACTTTAAGAAAGAGAACAAAGCACAAGCCTTGTGTGAACAAAGCTCTTCCTGACAATTTGTAACCAGTTAAATAGAAGCAGCAGGAGCTTTAAGCCTCAAAACTTAAGAGTGGTGTTTTCAACATACAGAATATTGTTACTGCAATTTTATTCACTCTTTATAATGAGAATTCAGGTCAGTGTTTGTTACTTTGGATGTAGTTTTCAGTAACAACCATTTCATGAAGCTGTTTAAGTATAATTTAATTTGTGTAAAAATGTAAAATCTGTACATGTTTTTATGTGAGTACTCAGCCCATGATACAACTTTACATGGATCTACACCACAGATTTACAGACAAGAAGAGTAATGTCCAACGGATTCCAGTTCCATGAACTATCTGAACACTCAACAGGGAGTGATGTTCCTCTTTCCTGTAGTTCTACTGCCTTCCAATGACTGCAGGTGAGTGTACAAAATGCCTTAAAGATAGGCCAAGTGGGCTACAGAAAGGTTCCACAATCTCTTTTCTTCTGAAAACTGTAACAACTAAGTTTAACAGAGTAGGAATTAATAGCTCATTGTTTAGCATGCTTGACTAAACTGTACCAAGTGTTGGGGTCAATTGCCACAAAGGAAAAATACAACATACACTAAAAATTACATATTACTGCCATCATGGCATGAGTTCAAGTTCTACCATCCAAGGCCTAAATACTGATATGAGCCTTGTTTGCATCTTGTTAAAAATAAGGCCACAGCATTTAAGCATCCTCTCAGTCCCATCATCCTCTACTGATATGCGGGTTCTAACGTTTGAGCTGTGTGCCAAGCAGGAAGTTCTTATTGATCCACAGCTTTAAAGTCATTTTTTAATTTTCTCCCAGTGTTTGAACAGAGATGTTCTGATCTAGAGAGAACGATAAAAAGATACTGCTTGAAGACTTTGTGGACAAAGAACCCGGAGGTCACACCCCTCCTAAAACAGGAAGCCGTTATTTTATCTTGAATGTGACCAATATAAAGAAAACCAAATAAGTTATGTTTTACTGCTTAAAATAAGGTGTGACTATAAATCAACAGTCTTTTAAAATTAAATTGTTTTGTGTACAATTACCATTTTGTATGGTCTTTTCCACTTAAAATTATCTTACATAGACTTCCCACAAAATGAATCTCTTAATATTTATCACGACACAGTTTTGCTCAGTCAGTTTCCTTTTCTAGACTTTCTTGATAGTATTACAAACTTTGTATTGTTGCAGACCAGTGGTTTGTTTTTGGTCCGAGGCAAGGTCTCACCATGCAATCCTGGTTGGTCTGGAAATTGCTATATATTCTAGGGTGTCCTTGAATTCTTCTGCCTCCTGAGTGCTGGGGTTAAAGATATGTGCTACCATGCATAGCAACCAGGGTTTTTATTTTTTTCCCTTTAAGTTTCTTATTAAAGTCCTTTCCTAGCATAAGCAAAGGAATAGAGATCAATATGCTGTCCATCATTTGATATAAGAAACAGTCACTTTAAAGGCCTTCAAGCCTTCTGTTCCACAAGCAGAGAAACAGTTCACTCTAGTGCTGTGTGTAGCGAGCCTTTTTTCTGTGTGTGACTTTCATTGGACTGCCAGCCCCAAAATAATGATACAGAGACTTATTGTTAATTATGGAAGCTTGGCCTTAGGCTTAGGCTTCTTCCCAATGACCTCTTATAATTTAAATTAACCTGGTTTTATTAATCATCGTTATGCCACATGATTCTTTAACTCTTCTCCATCTTTATGTCCAACTTCTTCTGTGTCTTTTTTTTTTAAATGGAGACTTTTTAAAAAGATATATTTTATATAATGTTCTGTCTGCATGTATGCCTACTCGCCAGAAGAGGGCACCAGATGTCATTACAGATGGTTGTGAGCCACCATGTGGTTGCTGGGAATTGAACTCAGGACCTCTGGAAGAGCAGTCAGTGCTCTTAATCTCTAAGCCATCTCTCCAGCCCTCCTCTGTGTCTTAATTGTTTCTCCTCTCAAGCCAGATTATAACCCTGAGTTCCTCCATCTGCACGAAGTCCCATCTATTCTCTTCTGTCTAACTATTGCCCATTCAGTTCTTTATTAAGCCAATCAGGTGCCTTAGGCAAGTGAGGCAAGATATGGACAATCTTCATGCAGTTTGAACAAATATTCTCAAACAGCTGTGGGTCAGGCTGGGATCTTCTTTATTCATCTTCACAGCCAGGTGAAGCAGAGCCATATGAAAGTTATGGGAGACAGCATAGTTATCTCCTCCACAGGGAAAGGGCTTGGTCCTGCTACAGAGATGGAAGTAGTAATGAGCTTGAATGCCTTGAGTTCTCAATGGTTAGACTTTAGAAAAAATTCAGCATACTCACTACCTAGACCAGTGTGAGGAAATAAGTGACAACCTTCCATTTCAGAGCTGAGGCCTCCTTGTTTTTGGTGATGTTCAAGACCCACCAATAGTCAGTAATACCAGGTACTATCACCACTGTTTTGGACATGGACCAAAAACACGTGGTTTGAAAGGAATTTGGTCCCCAAATGAAGTGTCACTATTCAGAGGGATGGCTTTATGGGAGGAATTATGTCACTGAGGGAGTGGGCTTTGAGCTCTTCTATGATCAAGCTACTCCCTGAGAGAAAATCTACTTCCTGTTGCCTGCTTATCAAAATGTAGCCAGCACTGTATCAGCCTGCATGCTGCCGTGGCTCCCACCAGGATGATAATGGACTGAACCTCTGAAAACATAAGCCACCCCAACTAAATGTTTTTTCTTTGTGAGAGTTTCATGGTCATGGTGTCTTTTCACAGAAATTGAAATCCCAACTAAGACAAGACATAAATCAATATTTTAAGCATAAATAAAGCTCATGTGAACAACTTTCCTGATATCAACAAAGGGTGTTGTCTTTCACTTGTCCAACCCATTTCCATGTTAGAGCACCAAAAGTCACTAGGAAGAAATGAGACTTTAAAAATGAAATTGACCCAAACGAACATATCCAACTGAGTGTTGTCTTCAGATGTCATTGTTAGACCCCCAAAAACTCAAGTATCCGGGGTCTCAGGCCAGGTTCGCGGTCACCCCAATCACCAGGCGGATTCGAGAGCTTGCTGCAAACTGCATGAGGCTTTATTGTAATTTAACGAACTAACCCCATGTTAGCTCGGGCCTTTCACCCCCCCGCCATGGCAGACGGCTAGAAAAAGACGGCTCCTTGGGTCTCCCAAAAGATCTTATAGGGCAGCGTAAGGGGAGTGTCTAGGGGTACACACAGGCTCACGATTGGTGTGCTTCCAGGCTTGGAGGGCTTGCCCTGTGTTGATTGGTCAACTGGTTGTTATGGCTCATAGGCCCTCCCAGGGTGGTTGCTATGTTCTCTACGTCATTGCTGTGCGCTTGTCCGTAAAGCACACCCAGAGCCATAAAGCATAGCGCCACCAGCTAACTTCTGATTGGTTCCTTGTCACGAGACAGGCATCTGACTTTCTGGTTTCTAGGACAAGGTCATAGAAGCACATGTTCGACCATTATGGCTGCCAAAAGGGAAGCCGGTTCCTTCATTCCCCCATTTTCTTTTTTGTAAATTCCAATCATGGAATTGCTGTCTCTCTAGCATCCCCATCAGGGAGTGATAGATACTGTCATCCCCATGCAAGGGAGTTCCTTTTGACTTAGCATTTTAACCAGGGAAAATGGACGGCGAAATTCTTTTCCAAACTGCTTTCTGCTGACTTTGGGACGAAGTTAGGGACCCCAGAAGGTTGAAATGCTAGTCAAAAGCAAAAAGGAATTTAGGCAATGGGGAATTTATTAGGGGCTTCTGGTTAGCAGACACTGTTGCAGAGACAGGGGGTGTCCACATCAGCTGACTGGTT